TGTAGAAGGACACAAGCTAGCACACACTTTGAGAAAAGGGGGGTATCTGAGACCTCTGTTACTTGGTCTACAGATGGCAGAGTAGGGAGTAGGTGTATAGAAGGTGAGTAAGGCCATAGTCTGTGGCACCAGAGGCATGCAGGAACACATGACAAGGGCACAGGACAAAATACCTTTTTGTCTCTTAAAACCACTGTGGTTTTTACCTATTTCCACGTCCTCCAAGAAACTACCACCTTGAAATCAGATTAAAAGAGCACTGCCCTCAATTGAAATACGTCAAATGACAAATAAAGGTTCAAAGCTATTCTTAGGAGAATTGCTATGCCAAACTGAGTGATGGCCACATTTCCTTCTATGAGGCCCAAATCTATCATGGCCAGGCATGCTGATTGCACCAGTTGAGAGTTTGACGCATCATGCCAGCAGGTTAAAAAGAAACTATGACTCAGGTCACCTGTAACTATGTTAGAGAGAGGCTAGATGCATTGACCGCCTGCTTTAATCAAGTCTTAGAGAGATTAATATACAAGTATAAAGAACTTTTGAATTTGAAGTATTTCATTGTTGTCCACATGCTCTATGGATACTAAATGCAGGATGTTGGTTTTATTTACTTGTTTCCCTCTCATGTGCTTGAAGATAAGCTACTGGCTACCTTAAAAGAGGAACAGCAAACTGAAGTTTAATGAATGATGCATATCAGATCCTTAATGACTACTGCACAACTCAAAGATTCTTATACGACTGCAAGTTCTGTGAATGCAAAACCAGAAGCACGGGCCACTGACTGTGTAGCTAATGAAGTTACCAAGTCTTACCTCTGCCTGCAGTTGAGTTACATGAACAGATCAGCTGAGCACTTTTTGTTCCCTTCAATTCAGGCAAAATTGTCCCAGCCACCCTCACTGATGACTAAAACTACATCAACTCACGTTGCACAGACATGCAGGATAAGAACTCACACAATCCCTTGCACACAACCCAGCAGTTATCCAGAAACGTAGATTGCTAACTTCTGAAATATCACTACAAGAATCCACCATTTTGCACCCTGAGTCATGCTGGGCACAGCAAGTATCCTTAGAGAGGCAAAAGATGTAGGTCAACAGGTTTTAAAGGAAAAGGCTGACACCACATTCAGCTGGAGCTGTAGCATACTCAACATGTTAGAAAACAAGATCACTTACCTAGTTGTCAAAATAAGGGGTTTTGTGAGCATGTTTTCAAGTATGAAATTGAAAGCTTTTGCTGTAGGATGAAGTGTTCTTTCAGTGTTATTTATAAAGCACAACAAGGTCTTATGTTCATGAGAAAGTACATGAAAAAATTCACAGCAAGAATTTTGCCTGGCTCTAGTGACAAATTAGGGTGCAAAAAAGCAGTTACTATAGCAATAGTAAACCTGTGTAGTATTTATACAACTCCAGGAGAACTGCATGCCTCTATCCTGACCTCAATTACAATCTTTCTTAGGGGAGCACACGTGAATAGGAGTGAATGAAAATAAGAAGGCAGCCCATACCCTGTGGGCAAGTTATTATAAATTTAAAAGAGCACAGAATAGCTCCCACTGACCTGCTATTAAGACTGGTAAAAAATAGTGTCTGTCTACCTATTTTTGTATTTGTCGCATTTCTAATCCACACATATGGCTCTATTGACAAGGTTTTATGTTTCTTTCGGTAAAAATGAGAGAATTTAAAAGTCTGTGTAGTTGCTGTGTGTTATGTGTCTGCGTGTTTATGTATAGCATAAAATTCCACAACAGCAAATTTGGCAGTTTTACTAACAGCAATGTTAATAATAACAGTAAGACCAACAAGGACAGGAGTAACTATTGCACTATAACTGTTAAGACAGAAAATTTTTGCATTTCTGGGAATGAGATCAGGGAAAAATAAAGCTCTTTGCTTATTGAAAACAACAAAGACATTTTTACAATTGATTTGTTGAGAAATATTAATTTTACTATGCTTTGGAGCAGGGAATTGAAAGCAGCAGTTTACAGACACGTCACCTTAATGGTAAAGGTGTGGCTTTTGCTATTACTGGGGAAAAAACCCAACATATTTACTTTGTTCTTCTATTTTGTTTTCCTAATGCCCATTGTTAGTTGATGTTAGAGACAAGGCATCATGCTAGATAGACCTTTGGTCTGGGCCTAGGGTTCTCTTTGGTGGCATACACCAGCAAAGAAAATTTCAACTAAAACAGTTAAAGTTTGACAAAATTCTAGGGAATTAAACCCAAGATTCTTAGACTGAAAAGCGCTAATCTTTTCATGGAAAGAAAAATAATCCCATGCCCAGAAAGGCCATCACCTTACATACCCTCAGTCTTAAAGCACCCAGAATAAAGGGAAAGGAGGATCTAGTTTGCAGATAGCAGGGCAAACATAACGAACATGAGCAGGTGAGGTCATTAAATTAGAGGTCATAATTACAGTTATGGTTTACATAGCAGAGCTGGTCAGTACAACCACAAGAAAGTCAGGCCCTCTGACACATCCTTCTCCACTGTTGCCCTATCTGCTGGAACTGGAAGGAAGCAACCTCTCTGCCCATCATGAGAGCTTCAGCTCCTTCAGAAGTCCACAAACTAGTTTTCTGCAGGGGCTTTTGGGCTGCACTGGACCTCATGGTTATCTCCAAAAGTCCATTATCAGGACATAACAAATAAAAGCTAAATATGCTGCCTTTTTTTTTTTTTTTAAACTCACTCTACTGTGTCTATGTCTGTGGCAGGAACACACAGACATACAGGACCTGAGTAATAACTGCCCTTCAGGGTTCATTACAGAGTTTGGATACCAAATCTGTCAATAAACTAGCAAGGCGAAGAGGTCAGGCAATGTGGGGGAAGGAGGGGTGAGGAGGTCACCTGTGCAGGGGGTCTGTCCCTGTTTGCAAAGCAGATGTTGCCCTCTGAGGCCTTAGGGACCCATTGCTCTTAAGTCACCAGATATTGCCCATGCTGTTTCTCAAATCCAGGTGGAAAAATCCATCATTAGGAGGAAAATTGAAAACAGTTTTACTGGTAGTTTATAAACAACTATAAGTAGAGGGGTCTCAGATATATGTGTGGCAACCAAACATGCACGACTAATTTTTCATTCAATGAATGCTGCCATGCCTGATTCTAGATTATCAATTATCACTAAGATGTTCCAGTTCAGATACCACTGAGTTTCCAGTTCAGATCTTTACAGACAAGAGCCAGCTGCCAGGTTTAGATTGGATCCAAGTTTGCCCACATTCAAGGGAGTTTGCATGGATGGCAGTGTTATAAACAACTTATGTTTCACAACAAGATTAGACAGATTCTAACATATCAGTTATAAATGCACACTGCAGGGTTTGTCTCCAAACATTT